AAAAGTACTGCATGGGTTTACTTCAAATTTTGCATGAATATTACTAACAGGTCGGGTTAACATATAGGCTACATATTATCACGCTATCATCTACGGGGGAGGAGTTGTGAATCACAATTCCACGCAACCGAAGTCGCGAACAACAGCTAGTTAAACATAACGTTTTATTTAAAACTAAATGTCTTACGCCCAAATACTATAGGGCCATCACAAGACATCAAATATAGACTGGCAGATATGGAACTTATTGAGGGAGACCTATTTTCAGCATAAATCACATAATCATATTATTTTGACTAAATAAATACCCTACATTTTAGTTTACATTCTGAATGACTATAACTAAATCATTTATGTAAATATTAAGGTACTCTCTAAATCTTTTGAATTAATCACAAGAATCAATGTATGAAACCAAATTGTTTGTTTTTGTTATGTCACATAAATTTCAGAGAACTAAAGATTTCATTAAATGCTATAGTATCTTTAAATATTTCAAGAAACCTGAAAATTATTTCTGTCATAAACATCATCCTATACAGCCAAGATAAAACAAACAAACTGAAATTAAAACAAGTTTGTGATTATATAAACCATCAAAAAGGTTGCATATATTTTTATATGCTTCAGAGGTCCCATTAATTATCACGTATTCAATTAATATCGCAGCGTATGGATCACTTAAAAGCTTAAATTAATAAATGATCATTTCAACAATGTAAATTAAATTGATTATGCATTAACTTTAAATTATGTTTTATCAGACAAGTCACTATTAATAGTTTCATTTCGTTCAACCAACATTTGAAAAATAATCTGTCGCCGGCTGTATTTCCGAACCGACCTTCAAACCTTCAAGAAAAGAGCGTATTCTTTTTTAAAAGGCCGGTAATGCACCTGTTACGCCTCTGTGTTGGTCCATGGGCGGCACTGATCGCTTACCATCAGGTGATTCGTCTGCTCGTTTGCCTCCTGTTTCATAAAAAAAAATCCTGTATTTTATTCGACGTATAGATAGGCAGAGGCGCTCCTACTGTTTTCACAGTCCACGCTCAGCGTGAAAGGTAACCAATTAAGATTTTTAACCCGTCACTTTCATCTCTGCACTACCTAAAAGTGTACTGGGACAGAATGCCTAAGACATGAAGTCCACCTTACACTCTATTGTATTATTAAGTGTTCATAAATCATACTAATATTATAAACCAACTTCTGCCTGCGGCTTTGCCCGCGTTCCACGAAACGGGACCGCTGGTAAAGCCGCTAGCAGAACCTAATAAAATGCCCTAAATAAGAGAGCAAAAGGATCTTAAGCCGTACAACAATCGGAGTCGCGGAGAACCACGGAGTCGCGGAGAACCTAACGGGTTACCGGGGCTCCGGCACGACGTGCAGGAGAAGGAACGGGGTGGTTTTTAGTCAGTAAGAGTCTTACACTCCCTTCCGCCCCACCTAGGCATGAGCAATCATTCGATGATTTTTCCCCACTTAAAAAAACCGTATAACAATAAAGTTGAATTCTTAACGCTCATGTTCTTATTATAATTTCGCATTATCCCCCCTAAACTTATTTACCTAGCTGCTAATTAAAGTGGGTATGTACCTATTTACTTCCATAATTGATTAGTAATTACATAAAAGGTGTTATCAAATAGACAGGCCATTAATATAATGGAGTTCATGTAGACAGGTAATGTTTGCACATAACTAACGCTTATTTATTTTAAAATAATTCATATAGTCATTCATTATTATATTATTATTATGTATGTGTAACGATTGCACTATTGGCGTTAGTAAACAGGCTGATATGCAACATGTTTCAGATTTGATTCCCGCAAGAATCATGAAGTCGTGTGATCCACAGAGTGTTGTTCCATGTATTTACCAAAATATTTCAAAAAATGCATAAGTACCCAGATAATAAAAGTGATAAAGACAAAATAACATAAAATAACATCACGCCTTTTATCCTCGGAGGAGTTGGCAGAGGTGTACATTATGACACTGTACAATGCAACACCTACTTTTTACAATTTATATGTTAGGAGTCCCATGTAATAGGGGGTGAACCTATTGCCATATACCGGGCACATTTTCAGACTCCATGCTACTACTGAGAATTTTTTAAAAACCCAGTAATATTTTGCCCGACCGAATCGAACCGGAGATCATGCCCGGCAGTCGCACTTGCAACCACTCGGCCAACGAGGCAGTCGAGGACAAAATAAAAATTAATAAAAGGCGTCATCAAGTTCAGTTGCTTATCGCTATACGATTTTTCGTAATGAACAAAGTACAAATCAAATTCAAAGATCAAAGTCCCTATCAAAGTAGGTATGTACACACGGCCACACATCAATCTATACAAAACCAGTTTATCATGGTGTCGCGTCGCATCATCTTTCCGCACATTTAACGTTCAGTTTATGCTGGTTATGTAAAACTCGATGTGTAGCCGTATGTACAATCAATTTTTTATACACCCTACTTTGCATCTCGGTCTAGCTTGGTTTCAATTGTTAAAGTTATGCTTCAGTCAACCGCAAAACAATATTTTACATAGACTGTCATCAGCTTTCCACACTTTATTATAAAAGTATTTTTTAGATATTAGAATTTAAACTGCCTCTTTGGCCGAGTGGTCGATAGGCTGATTTGGCCCCTATTACATGGGACTAAAGACTATCTCTGTGTGCATTTCTGCCTACACCATCGGGGATATTTTTTAAAAAGAATACTTGAGGCCTGATCTAAAATCGATACCGAAGCTAAAAATAAAGTTTTTAAAATTTGTGTCTGTTTGTCTGTATGTATGTCCGGGATGATCTCCAAAAGTACTGCATGGGTTTCTAAAGACTATTATCTCTGTGTGCACTTCTGCCTACACCTTCGGGGATATTAAGAGATGATGTTACATTATGTTTTTTAGATATAATGTAATAAAAGTGCATGATGCTTTTATTAAATGTTGAAATTGATTGTTAAATTAAATATCGTCATTATGCATGTTTACTCAAAACATATTTTCTCTTTTGTAACATAACATAACATCACGCCTTTTTATCCCCGAAGGGGTAGGCAGAGGTGCACATTACGGCACTTAATGCCACTGTACATTTCTCTTTTGTACAATCTTTAATTTGCAAACTTAAACCTGGTTCACACCGCGGAGAACTTAACGGGTTACCGGGGCCCCGGCTCGAAGTGCAGGAGTAGGAACGGGGTGGGTTTTAGTCAGTAAGTCTGACACTACCTACCGCACCCTAGGCGGGAGAAGCCAATCGATGATTTTCCCTCATTAAAAAATACCTAGTGTTCACTACAATTTGTACGCCTCCAGGCTGCCTCCTCCATAGCGCTCTATTATATTACCATTTATAAAACCTATATCTGTATGCACCTATGTTAACAAATAAAAGTGATTTGTTTTGATTTAAACATTGTCCCACACTTCACTTTTCTCCTGTATTATAGTTGTGTTTACATATACAATCACCTATCCTGAATGGTGACGACCAGGGCCAACAATTTGTAGATCACATTAAAAAGGTCTGCTGAAGAATCCCGCTACAGATTAGACAGGAGCAGATTGCTCAAATAATGTGCCAACCATGAAGCCATTCTTTCATTACTCCATGTCTATACAAGGTGTAGTTTTGAAACCGTGTCATTTCTCAGGGGCATGTCACAGAAGTCATAAAGGTTCAATGTAAGAGAAAATTTCGGGCTAGTAGTTAAAAATACGGCTATAATAAATCGTTTAAGTTCGACAGTATTTCAGAATAAGCGACAGCAATGTTTCTTATTGGAGTTTTATGGAACTAGGAATAATATCAATTACGTGTTTGAGTTTGTGTGTGTTAAGCCGCGTTATAAAGCTAGTTACAAGACGGCGGCGTGTACTTCGCACTTACGGATTTCCATAATTTCAGAAAATGAAAAATATTAACCTACAATTTTTTTTATTGATTCGGACTCAGAATCGATATCTGACTTACCTCCTAGAAAATGACGCGTCTTTAAAACAACACCTTGTATTTAATAAAACCGTATAAAAATTAAAAAAAAATATTCAATGTACAGGTTTGAACTGTACATTGAATATTTTTTTAAAAGAATACTTTAGGCGTGATCTACAATCGATACCGAAGCCAAAAATAAAGTTTTAAAATTTTTTGTCTGTTTGGCTGTATGTATGTCCGGGATGATCTCCAAAAGTACTGCATGGGTTTACTTCAAATTTTGCATGAATATTACTAACAGGTCGGGTTAACATATAGGCTACATATTATCACGCTATCATCTACGGGGGAGGAGTTGTGAATCACAATTCCACGCAACCGAAGTCGCGAACAACAGCTAGTTAAACATAACGTTTTATTTAAAACTAAATGTCTTACGCCCAAATACTATAGGGCCATCACAAGACATCAAATATAGACTGGCAGATATGGAACTTATTGAGGGAGACCTATTTTCAGCATAAATCACATAATCATATTATTTTGACTAAATAAATACCCTACATTTTAGTTTACATTCTGAATGACTATAACTAAATCATTTATGTAAATATTAAGGTACTCTCTAAATCTTTTGAATTAATCACAAGAATCAATGTATGAAACCAAATTGTTTGTTTTTGTTATGTCACATAAATTTCAGAGAACTAAAGATTTCATTAAATGCTATAGTATCTTTAAATATTTCAAGAAACCTGAAAATTATTTCTGTCATAAACATCATCCTATACAGCCAAGATAAAACAAACAAACTGAAATTAAAACAAGTTTGTGATTATATAAACCATCAAAAAGGTTGCATATATTTTTATATGCTTCAGAGGTCCCATTAATTATCACGTATTCAATTAATATCGCAGCGTATGGATCACTTAAAAGCTTAAATTAATAAATGATCATTTCAACAATGTAAATATATACGTGTTTTATAACAAGCCAATACAATGGTAAAATGGGGCTATTTAAAAAGGATATAGATTATGATTGGTACAGCTTGGGCCACTTTCCCCACTTCCTCATCAGTCTGCATAATCTTCTTGATTCGCCCCTACAAACAAACAATGTCATGATATCACCAATCTCTCAAAATTATTGACGAAAACAAAACTAAATTTCTCTTTGTTATGATCACTTATTAACGTTTTTCAACTTACAGCTGGAAACCTTGCATTGTATTTTCTCTTCTTGGAAGGCATTTTGATAATCCGTTCACTTTAACACCAATTAAATGATAAAATTAGCTCACTTCACCATCAGAATGTTAACACTTCTCGCGCATTTTTGAGGTTATAAAAGGGGGACGTTCGCAGCCCACTTCATTTATATACGAATTTGACAGTTTCTCCACCATTTTTTATGGTCAATTTATGATTATCCACGTAATCCAATATAGCAATGAGTGAAAAAATACCTCCAAACAAACATAATCACAGTCATTTAATTTATTTTAAATATACTCGGTGTGTTTTCAGATAATTAATCAAAATGTAATTTACTTGGCTGAGTGACTGACTACTTTGTCATTACAGTTTTAATTTGGAAAATAAAAGGTCGTTTTGAAACAAAATATTTAAATATCTTCGGGTTTAGAAAAAGTTTAATTGTTTATTAAATAGCTAATTAAGAAGAAATATAAATATAAGTGAAAATTAAAATTTCTCAACGAATTTATTTTAGTCATCAAAGTTTACGCTAGGTGGTTCCTAGACGAAAGCTTTCAAAAGTCATTCTTAATAAAATGGCGTCGTTATCGAGGTGAGTTGTCCGCGATTTTATTTATTTTTAAAATCACAGTTTTACATTTATTTCATAATAAATTAATATGTTATTACAAATCTAGTGTACTATTATCTTGAAAAATTTTAAAACATTCAGCCATAGCAAACTGATTAATACAAACGTGAGAACAAAATAAACCAGTATCTTTCGTATTTGAAGTAAATACAGCACGAGATATCGAGTATTTCGCAATGATAACGAACTTAATGACTTTATTACCATTGGATGCAAATTTTTACGCATTATATTGTACCAAAAAGAGGTAAACATATGAAAGATAACCTTATCAAAATATCAACTTTGTGGTCGTTTTCTTTTTAGCCTGTTACCTGCCCCTACACAGCAAGTGTGGGATCGTGATGATGAGAGAAAAGCTAAGCGTGTTGGCAGTGCCTTGGTAGTATCACAAACAAGTGTTCCTCCATATGGACAGAGGAAAGGATGGGTTCCCAGAGCAGAAGAGGACTTTGGAGGTCAGTTATCATTTTACAATTATTTATGTCATCAACATTATTATTGTAATTGTATCATAAGTGGTGATTAAAATAAACGGTGTTCTAATAGAGCCAGGAAATCGTGACAAAGTTACTCGAGGTAGATGGATTCAAATGAAATTATTTTACTGCCTTTATCTTAAACCTAATAATTACAAAATCTTCTTTTAATGAGGCTAAAACATCTATGCATGATCAATCTGCTTCATCTCCAGTGGTGTACAATAGCTGTTCAAAAGAACTCGTGAGAATTTTGCTTCAAATTTGCTTAACCTCCTGGTAAATTATTAATAAATCAAATCATTGTCTTGCAAAGGCTGGTCATCATTATCAATTTATCAGCCACAAGACATCAACAAATAATCACTTGCTACATTCATCTCTGCACTACTTAAAGGTTGCCTGGGAGACAATGCTCAATGCATTACGTCCTGTACTGTGTGTACGCAATACTTAATTCTTTATTGCTTTCCACATATATGACTTAGGTGGTAAACATATTTAGGACACAATGTGGACCCTGTCGGCCACAACCATAGCTATAATAAAGAAGGAGATATGGTGTGGAGTCAAAAAATGTATGTAAAACGAGTGAAGCCACAATTATTATTGTCTCTACATAAAACTAATATTATACACACAGTTCTGACAAAACAATACTACGAATAAGTGCACACATGCAGCATCTGCCGGCAATAACTCAGTAATTCAAATATAAGCCTTATTCTTTAGTTAACAGCACACTTTCTCCTTTACTCACACTAAAACAATTAGTCACTGTGTCTTAGGAGCGGGATCTACCGTCGCCGTAGCGACTTGACGATATCGATAGCTCCTGATGAATATATTAATTAATTTTTACAAAGGTTTTGGAAATAAAGTTAAAATGACATGAAACCAACAAAATATTATTTTATTATTATAAAAAAATATTATAAATCAAACAACAAGTTGTTTGTAATTACAATGATATAATTTGGATAAGAAGGGATCGCATTCTTGGTTAATTAATAAAGTCTTAATGTAGTATATTTTTCTATGACTGCTTTTATTAATAATATTATGTGTTTATACATAGGAGACTACTCTGTGAGTACAAAATTATGACTGCTATGCTGATCATTATAATGCATACAAAGCTAGCGGTTTGTTTATGAAGATTAAAGTAAAATACTAAAACCATTACAACTTATAAGTGAACAAATATAACTATTTGCAGTCGACTTTCTTGTCGATAGACTTGCGGATGCACCACGTGACATCGCGTGTTGATGAGCGTTTCGTTAAGTTACTTTTACATTGCTGGTTTAGTTACTCGTGTGCGTTCGCGCAGCGGAATGTTGTTGAATTTAAAGATTTTAATTATGCAAATAATTAGTGTAGACGTCCTATAATTGTGTGTGGTAAAAAAATTGTGTATCCAGCCATTCTAGAGAAATTAACGAAAAACTGATTCCGCTGGGCGAACGTTGTCCTGGCGGAACTTTTTTTACTCCATAGACTTTAGAAGAAAACAGATGTGTCCAAAAATTTGTGTGTATTAGTGTGTAATTGTTTATGTATGAATGAAATCAGTGCATACATAAACTTCGGAGAAATTCAAGTTTCCGCTACGCGAACGTTTGGCCATTAACTAGTTTTCACATAAGATTTTTACATAAGATTTTTACATAGATTTTTACATAAGTACGTTGTTTTGAATTTGTTAATATTTATTTAAAAAACAGATTAAGAAAAAAAAATAAAAGCGCTAATGGCGTTTGGCTAAAGGCCCTGTGGACACAACAATATAGGATTTGGAGGGAACATAGTTTGACATGTTATTCAAAGAAGAAAAAAACTTGTTGTATTTATTTGTGACAGATGAGATATCTAAGGCCTTTTTTTAACAATGTAAAGGAGGCCAAACCAGCTAGGTTATGCATGATGATTATAACTGTGCATGCAAAACCGACAAGCATAACCGAGCACCGATGCACCGATAACTGTACTGTTTGGTTTAATCACATACACGCTAGGGCTTACCTATCGGTTATGCATGCACGGCTAAAACCATCATGCATAACCTAGCGTGTATGGCCTCCTTAAAGCCTATCAATTCAAACATAATAACTAAGAAATAAATATGATCAAATCATTTAACTGTATCCATATTTTCCAGATGGAGGAGCCTTCCCAGAGATCCATGTCGCCCAGTACCCGCTGGGTATGGGTGCCCGGGGCAAGGAGAGCACTTCCAATGCATTAGCAGTCCAGTTAGATGAGTCTGGCCGAGTTAAATACTCAGCCATTGCCAGACAAGGCCATAGTGCTGATAAGGTAAGATTAATTGTATTTTATCCTGTAATATGCTTTAATTTTTACTAAAGTAATGCTGTTATACTGCTTCATTGGCTGGTAATATATCTGTCAAGCAAGGGATGTGTGAGAACAGAAATTCTTTGTTTTTAATTTTGCTCCACACTAGGATTTTCTCCTGTGTCATGGGTGTATTTACAAACATATAATTCCTCATACACACGACACCCAAAACAGCAATTTGTGGATCACACAAATAGGTACTCTATGTGGCAATCAGACCTGATACATATTGTGCTGCAGCGGGTTACTCAGCCACCGCACCAACTATGCAGCAATTGAATTTGATATGCAATCTTCGTACAACAAAGTGATATAAAGATTCTTCTAAAAATAAACTGTCTTTTCACAGAAATTTATTTTGCTTCTTTGTGTTAATAATAGTTATTTTTCTCTGTTTCCAGATAATATACTCAAAATTAACAGACTTGTTGCCTTCGGAAGTACTAGCGGAAGATGACCCTACACTCCAGAAACCTGATGATGAAGACATACAGGATCTTACAGAGAAGACCAAGCAAGCTTTAGAAAAACTGACCAATGCTAAGATATCTGCGGCTATGCCCGTTAAAGCTGCTCCTAAAGCTGTGAGTTCATGTTATTTGCTTATAATTATTTGTTTCATGACTTGTGTGCATAAAAATTGAGGTTAACTTTTTTCATAAATGCTTGCTTTTATATGTTTTTTACTATAAAGTGTGTAGTAGCACATACTATTAAACTATCATCCCATCAATAGCCTATAAATGCCCACTGCTGAGCTAAAAGCTTCATTACACACAGAGAAGGTTTGAGAATTAATAACCACACTTGCTCAATGCGGGTTGGCGATTTCAAACTTGTAATTAGAAATTATAGGTCCAAGTTTCCTCATGATGTTTTCGTTCACCGTTGGTAGGTTTCTAACCTACACCCTCATGCATGAGAAGCAGGCGTCCTAAATCTCCGGGGCCACCACAATACAAATAATAAACCATAGTTATTAGTAATTACTATGATAACTATCTGATCCCCAGTATTGTGTATCTATAGTAGTGCCCAGTAGTTCTAACAACAGTTTGTTGTTAGGACCCATTATATGCAGTATATACCTATCTTAAAAAATATCGAATTATTATTCCCTAGAAGGAAAGGCATAAGGTTCTTTCAGAGCATCCATTTTTTCCCAGTTATATTGTCATATATCTTCTGTTGTATAGATAAGTTAAAGTTCCCAACCGATTCTTCTCCTTGAGAAGAGCATACCATTATCAATCGCGCTGATAGAACCTTACCTCGGCAGGCCCCAGCACAATACATCAGATACACACCGGCGCAGCAAGGGGGACAGTTCAATTCCGGTGCCAAGCAGAGAGTTATCAGGTTTGTACTATTTTTTACTATAAATGGGAGTTTTAGTTAAAAATAATGCTACAGTGTTAGAAATTTATAGTACAGAGTATGAAAGCTGTTTTTTCAAAAGGAACTGGTAATACCACTTAGGCTGAGTCCTTAGTCACGTAGCAAGCGCGATGCTGTTTGGCTATGCTGACAAATACTCGATTTGTTTGAACTTGTTCGAATTGCGAGCGGGCGCGCACATATGTGTTACCCAGGCCAGATGTTGCAGAAGTTGTGCGGCTTTTGTAATTGTTGCGCACATTTTTAAATTTGTTGCGCTTATAATTTTTTAAATATTTTACCAAAAACATTTCTTGCTGGGGTAACGTTACCCCAGCCAGACCTTTTTCTTTCTAATGATAATATTTAAATCATTACTAGCTATAAAATTAGTTGTTTAGATGAAGTAAATGTTGTGCCTTATTTTGTATTTGTTCTTTCATCGGTTGCGAAGTTATTCGAGATTTTGCTGAGGTCTTTTTAAGAGTGCTGGGACCAATTGAAGTGCTTTTCTATTTAATAAAATAACCTTTAAGCTATGTATTATTTTGGGATTTTTATTGCAAAACAAATTTAAACTAATTCCTTAGAAGCCATGTACAAAATATTATAAGAATCCGCTTAACCATTTCAAAGATCTAGCAAAACCAAAAAGTTTACCCCAGCAAAATCTCGAAAAACTTCGCTACCGATGAAAGAACAAATACAAAAAAAGGCACAACATTTACTTTATCTAGACAAGTAATTTTATAGCTAGTAATTATTTAAATATTCCCATTAGAAAGAAAAAGGTCTGTCTGGGGTAACGGTATCCCAGCAGGAAATGATTTTGTGAAATAATTAAAAAACTATAAGCACAAAAAATTTAAAAATGATACATATAACAAATTTAAATACATACAACGCAATTACTTGTTGTATTTTAAATTAAAAAAGATACTTCTATTACTTATATACATTGGTTTATGACATTCAATGTAATTTTTGCCAGAATGGTAGAAGCCCAGTCCGACCCCATGGAGCCGCCTCGCTTCCAAATAAACAAGAAGATCCCTCGGGCGGCGCCATCCCCCCCGGCGCCCGTGCTGCACTCCCCCCCGCGCCGTGTGTCCGTCAAACAACAGAGAGACTGGAAAGTACCACCTTGTGTCTCACACTGGAAGAACGCTAAAGGTAAACAAAAACTTACTAATTTGTGAAGACAGAATAAGTCAAAGTACTCCTTTGGGTACATTCTCATGAAATATGTACATAAGAAAAGTATTCGTGGAACTTTTTAGTTATATATTATTAGCTCAAATCTATTGTAAAAAGACTTGGCTAGTAGTAGAGTAGCCTCCATTTCAAGGTTTATTATATGATTTCGGCCCTCAAGTCTGTTAAAGAAACATTAGGGTGTTTTGGTCTTACAGAAAAGGCCTGTGTGTGGGCACTGGCTTATCCACTTATCAAACCAATATCACTGAAACATACTTCTACCGTAAATATAGCTAATAACATATCTTTATCAACTTCTTCCAGGTTACACAATACCCCTGGACAAGCGTCTAGCAGCAGACGGAAGAGGATTACAACAAGTACACATTAACGAAAACTTCTCAAAATTAGCTGAAGCACTTTACATCGCTGACAGAAAGGCGCGAGAGGCCGTGGAGGCACGTGCGCAGCTAGAGAGGAGATTAGCGCAGAGGGAGAAGGAGAAGAAAGAAGATCATCTTAGAATGCTGGCTCAGAGGGCTAGGGATCATAGAGCTGGTTAGTTGTTGTTTTGTATTTGAGGATACTTGCTCTACTTGAATTACTTGCTTTAGGTAAATTCTTGGATTAAGCATGGTAAGATTCATCGTCCAAGATCATGCAACATTTCATAATATGTATCTGATAGTGTCCTAAGTTCTTGTCTGTGTTTATATTACAGTAAAACTGTCTAGTTTCGACAGCTGTTGTAAGTAAAGCAATCCTATTTTTTATAACCCGACTGTAGGAAGGATATTGTTATCGCGTATCTTGTATGAGTGTTTCTTGATAATCCACGTATTCTTAAGCCAAGGATACCCTAGGTAACAAATGTCCTGCGATACGTGTCGCCAGCGACGTTGGGTGAAGTAGTGAAATAGACGACGACGACTTTGGTCGACATGTCTGGCGATATCAGCGTCGCAGTGGACGAAAGTCGCGCGTTATCGCCATATAGGTTAGGTGAAATGGGCTGGCTTCGCTTGACAAGTCGCCAATACATGTCAAACGACATTTGTCCCCTAATGTAACCTTGGCTTTAGATATGTGACATTGAAAAAAACCAACATGGCGACTGACAAAATCTACACAGTTTAGAGTATTTTTTTTGATATGGTTATCATATTAAGGATTCTCGTCTTTTGCAGGTATAAGGGCTACTGTTAAAGTTGTGATATTTAAATTATTTTCTATGCTTCTGAACTGAACTTGTTTTGTTATTTTTTAGCCATGTAACAGACGGGTTTTAATTCATTTTAGTAATTTATCAATATTAGCATTTCAATTTGTGCCCGTTACCCAGGCCAGATATTGTCGAAAATGGTAATTTGAATCTTATAGATAATTAGTTTTGCGGCTTCTGTAATTGTTGCGCATATTTTTAAATTTGTTGCGCTTATAGTTTTTTAATTATTTCACAAAAACTCTTCCTGCTGGGGTAACGTTACCCCAGCCAGACCTATTTCTTTGTTGGGGAATGGGAATATTTAAATAATTACTAGCTATAAAATTAGTTGTCTAGATGAAGTAAATGTTGTTATTTAGCCCTATTTTGTATTTGTTCTTTCATCGGTTGCGAAGTTATTCGAGATTTTCCTGGGGTAACGTTTTTGGTTATGCTAGATCTTTGAAATGGTTAAGCGGATTCTTATCATATTTAGTACATGGCTTCTTAGGATTTAGTTTAAATTTATTCTGCAATAAAACAACAACAATAATATGTATTATTTAAGCTATTTAGCTAAAAGGTTATTTCATTAAATAGAAAACACTTCAATTGGTCCCAGCACTCTCCCATTCCCATTAGAAAGAAAAAGGTCTGGCTGGGATAACGTTACCCCAGCAGGAAATGTTTTTGTGAAATAATTAAAAAACTATAAGCACAACAAATTTAAAAATATGGGCAACAATTACAGAACTCGCGAAACTGATTAATCTGTAAGATTTAAATGACCATTTCTGACAACATCTGGCCTGATTAACGCACACGCTCAATTTAGTATATAGCTGCTCCAAGATCATATAAACCAACTTGTAAAACGTCATTTTACGTTATAAAACCCAACCCAGATTACTCATAGGTAGGCGTGCTCCATCGTCGGCCACATTATCACTTACTACCAGACGAGATGGTGGCCAAACGTCATCCTATCTAGTATAAAAAAACATACCACTTCACCTTTTCACCTAGAAGTTACATTCCAGGTATCCGAGCTCCTGACGAGGATCCGGAGAGTAATGAAGTGGACGAGAGCGGACTGACGGCTGCCGAGCGAGACAAACTCAGAGCTGATAGACACAAGGAGCGGCAGAGGGACAGAAACCTGGCGAGGGCGGCACCTGATAAGAGGTATGGTGTAGACTGGTTACTATTTGAATAATTTATTACTCTTTTTGATGTCGGCGGTGTACATGGGCGGGCGGAATGCTTGTTATTAGGTGATATATGTCTGCTCATTTGTCTATATTTTATAGCGACCGGCGACTTTAAGTCTTTGATTGCTAATACGAAAACTGGTGAAGGCAAACCCTCCGCTAAGTCCCCGATAACCCCCATGACGTTTATCGTGTTAACGATGTTTCCATGTTTTCACACTAAAACCTAGAGGTAGAGGAATTTCACAAGCTTTTCAATACACCGCAATAATAAAATTACTAACCCAATTCCGTCCAGTCCTTTTCGAGTTCAAACCAAAGTGATAAGCAGCAATTGATTTTAAAATCTATTTTCGTTCTTAATGAAGACAATCTTTAAGAAGATTCTGGTTAAAACACACTGAAGGTATATTTTCTAAGATTGAAAGATCATTTCATCGATATAATATACAGATTTTGTCAATAATTTGACACTATGACATAATTTTAGTGGTAGTAATATGATTATGTTTTCTGTTTTCAGATCGAAACTAGTAAAGGACCGTGAACGTGATATTTCTGAACAGATCGCTCTCGGTCTGCCCGCTAAGACGAACCAAGGCGGCGAGGCTATGTTCGACCAGAGACTGTTCAATAATAGCAAAGGAATGGACAGTGGTATGTTATTTTATGTCATTTGTAACTGAACTGAGTGTCTCCTAATTTTATTGAATTTAAAGGGCTCAAGTTAATGATATAACCAAAAAGACGGCTTACATGTTTCCAACACCTTCAATAATGTTTATTATTTCATTTATTGTTTTTTCTACTATTCGATTTTTAGTTTTTGGCAAATATTTAATAAAATATTCAATATAAATAGGGAATGTGGAAAACTGAAACATATGTCTCTTGGAGATTGTCCCTCTCCACTTCTCAAGCATTTAATGCAAGATTTTTTATGAATTCATAACGAAACCTATAAGTTTTGAGTTTTATATGTGGACACGAAAATGTGGAAATGTAATGTTTTCATAACGTTTGTCCAGGTTACGGAGACGACGAAGCATACAACGTATATGACAAGCCGTGGCGCAACCAGGACAACGTCGGCGCTCACATCTACCGACCGTCCAGGAACGCTGACAAGGACAACTACGGAGGAGACATTGATGCTATTGTTAATACGCGCAGGTAACTTATATGCTTACACTTGCTGCTTCCCCGCGGTTTCACCAGCTCTGCTCGGCTCCTCTTGGTCGTAGCGTGATGTTTTAGGGCCTATAGCCTTCCTCGATAAATAGACTATCCAACACTTACATTTTTTTTTTCAAATCGGACTAGTAGTTCCTGAGTTTTGCGCGTTCAAACAAACGAACTCTTCATTTTTATTTAATAGTATAAGATAAGATTGTGTTTTTCTAAAAAGTTTACGAGAGAGCTGAGTTGAGTATGCCAAAGCATAGCCAGTATTAGTGAGGTTAACCCAATCATCGGCTCCTGAATTTCCTAAACCCCCATGAGGAGGTGTTGCAGGTTCCATAGGTAAACCGTCAGCTCGTTTGCCGACCTATTTCTTAAAAAACAACTATCTCAAGAATTATCTATCATCTCTTAGTTTGCTTCGTTGTTTCGTCTCGAAGTGATCGGGAATCGGACATCGAGCTGTATAAATTGTGTACGTTACCCGGGCTAGATGTTGTCGAAAATGGTAATTTGAATCTTATAGATAATTAGCTTTGCGGCTCTGTAATTGTTGCGCTTATAGTTTTTTAATTATTTCACAAAAACATTTCCTGCTGGGGTAACGTTACCCCAGCCAAATCTTTTTCTTTCTAATGGGAGTATTTAAATAATTACTAGCTATAAAATTCGTTGTCTAGATGAAGTAAATGCTGTGTCTTATTTTATATTTGTCCTTTCATCAGTTGCGAAGTTATTCGAGATTTAACTGGGGTAGCGTTTTTGGTTTTGCTAGATCTTTGAACTTTCTTAGCATATTTCATACATGGCTTCTGCCAAAAACCAGAATAATACAAAGCTTAAAGGTTATTTCATTACATAGAAAATCACTTCAATGGATATTTCCATTAGAAAGAAAAAGGTCTGGCTGGGGTAACGTTACCCCAGCAGAAAATGTTTTTTGTGAAATAATTAAAAAACTATAATCGCAACAAATTTAAAAATGTGCGCAAAAATTACAGAAGCCGCAAAACTCATTATCTATAGTAATTATACACAAAACTAACTAAATTATTATATATGTATAAGATTCAAATGATCATTTTCGACAACATCTGTCCTGTACGCACACGTATAGATTTCCATGTAACATGTATTAAAAATGAATAACAATATTATTTCACTTTCTATTCCAGATTTGTCGCAGACAAAGAGTTTGCTGGTACTAGTAGTAGTAACACCCGCGCTGGGCCTGTACAGTTCGAGAAGGACGCACCCTCTAGTAGAGACGAACCTGTAAGTATTTTGAAAACTTATACATCACATAACATCACGCCTTTTGTCTTCGATGTGGTAGGTGGAGGTGCACATTACGGCACTTAATGCCACTGTACAAAGTAACACCCACGTTTCACGGTTGAGATTTTTTTTAAAAACCCATTAATATTGTGCCCTACTTGGAAATCGAACCCGAAACCCCTTGGCCGGCAGTCGCACCTCTCAGCCAATGAGGCATTCTATATTTTGATAACTTATAGACAGATAGAATGAATAGAAATATACAGCCTCTGTGAGATATATTTAATAGATTTTCAGTTATATTGGTTTGTAATTACAGATTTTCGGTTATATTGCTAGCCCCACAAATAAATGTAAAAGTGTGAAGTTACTATAACATGACCTTAGTAATAATATCAATGAAATTTGCCTTAACTTTACACTTTATTGGTTATTAGCTGAACACACAATTTCATTAGCGTTTTTATAAAATTAAAGAGTGTGTGTTACTCCTTAGTACATTACCTACCTGCCAATAAAAATTCCTTCAAAATCGGTTCACCCATTTCAGAGATTAGCCAGCACAAACAGACAGACAGACAAATATTGTAAAAAGTGTTATTTTGCTATATGTATCGTATGTATATTCATATTATTATGCATGTAGTAAAAAGCGGTCATTTCAATATTACAAACAGATACTCCAATTTTATTTATCTGTATAGATTTTTGAATATACTCCATAATAAGAATGTGGGGAAAACACATTTGTGACAAAATGAACAAACACACTTTATAATTTACTGTAGTATGAGAACTGCAAGAATATCTTTTGCATAGTTAACTTTTAGCAACCATAGAACATTATCACCACGAACCACCTAACAGTGTATTTCCATCCACAGTCACAGTCGCGCAGTAACCAGCCAGACGCGGACTTCGATCCGTTCGGTCTGGATCGGTTCTTGAGTGAAGCCAAGCGAGCAGACAAGTCGGGGCGCAAGCGAGACCATCACGACCGACACGATCAACACGGGAAGAAGAGGAGGGATTAATTGTAGGTATATATTGAAGTTTGTCCAACAAAACTGGAGTATCTGGAACTATGTATGTCAGACAGTGTGACAGTCTTGTTGTTGTCGAAAATTGGGTACTTTCCTTAGTCAAAAATAAATTATTTCGACTGTTCTGTACAATAAAATATTAAAACATAATCACACTTTCATTGTTTGATATTATGACCAAATTAATTTTAGTAGCTTTCCTGCAAATTAAAAAAAAATAAGTATGCTGTTTGACGCTATGAAAACGAGACGTCACAGTACACAATTTCGTATAAAATTCATAGAAAACTGTCGTTTTTGACAGTCCGAAAAAGTATTGAATTTGACTAGTTAGCAAGTACCCAATTGTAGTTTATTAAGTGTGGGAGACGCATGCTTCTGTGTGTATTTCATTTTAGCATACACAAGAAATATAGTGCGTTACCCAGGCCAGATGTTATCGAAAATGGTCATTTGAATCTTATAGATAATTAGTTGTGGGGCTTCTATAATTGTTGCGCACATTTTTAAATTTGTTGTGTTTATAGTTTTTTAATTATTTCACAAAAAAATTCATGCTGGGGTAACGTTACCCCAGCCAGACCTTTTTCTTTCTAATGGGAATATTTTAATTATTACTAGCTATAAAGTTACTTGTCTAGATAAAGTAAATGTTGTGCCTTATTTTGTATTTGTTCTTTCATCGGTTGCGAAGTTCTGTTCGGGGATCGAGATTCTGTTGGGGTAACGTTTTAGGTTTTGCTTTAACTTTGAAATGGTTGAGCGGATTCTTATCATATTTCGTATATGGCTTCTTAGGAATTAGTTTAAATTTGTTCTCTAATAATAAAAAACAAAATAATACATAACTTAATGGTTATTTCATTACTGTACTGTACAGTCCCAGCACTCTCAATAAGAGCTCTAAAGACTTACGCTTTATAGCTAGTAATTATTAAAATATTAATATTAGAAAGAAAAAGGTCTGGCTGGGGTAACGTTACCCCAGCAGGAAATTTTTTGTGAATAATTAAAAAACTACACTTCTGGACAAATCTATTGGCTCACCTTGTATTTTCAGTTTTGTTTGGTCCTAGCTAAAATTTTATATTAGGTGGAGCAAAAAGTTTTTATGCAGTTTTGAACCTGGCACATTCACAATTTCATTCAATAGTCTTTTTTTGAATTTTGAATACTAAGTAAACCTGGTTTTATTGGTTTACTTGGATTTAATTCTTGAAAAAGTGATTGATATCTTTGGTTTTGCAACAAAAATTACTTATTCTTAACAATAAGATGAGGTTCTATCAATAATCTATGGATACTTCACCTGAAGTCGCCGTCCCAGCTGTGGCACTTATTCAGGCCGGACACAGCCAAAGAAACGTGAGTGCTCAACTTAATTTAAGTCGATCTGCGGTCCGAAATGTTTATCGGAGGTACGTAGAGACTGGCGGCTTTGTTCGTCGTCAAGGAAGGCCACGATCTCTAGTCACAACTGAAAGGCAGGATCGATTCATCATGACGACCAGCTTGAGAAATCGTCACCTTACCTCCATTGAGATACAAAATCAACTTCGCGACTTCCACGGAGTATCTGTGAGCGCTCGAACTGTTCAGAGGAGGTTAAAAGAACGCGATATGGTACCACACAAGCTAGCTAATGGGCCCAAACTAACGCGAGCCCACCGAACAGCGCGCCTTCATTTCGCACGCAGTCATTTCAATTGGACACAGCAAGATTGGAGCCGTGTACTCTTTTCTGATGAGTCTAAAATTGTATTACATGGCAATGATGGAAGGAAGAAGGTCTTTAGATAACATTATATATTGGCTAAACAACAAAGCAAATTTCATGACATTCAGAAATAGAGTTAGTAAAATAGCAAACATGAATATAAATTATCGCGACACCAATATCCAAGAAGTTGACGTTACGAGATTTCTGAGTATATCCATCTACTGGGCACTAAATTGAATGCCTTTTCTTATGCATTGTTCAAAATTAAACAAACGGGTAATATTTCTACAGTCCTTACAGCCTACAATGGCTATGTTGTACCTATTTTCAAGTATTGTGTTATTTTTTGGGGCAATACTACCAATAAAGAAGCTGTGTTTAAGCCCAGAAGAGGTGTATCCGAGTCATAACTAGTATAAAAATAACTGACAGCTGTAGACCATTATTTTTTTAAAATTAAATATTCTTACTTTACCTTGCATTCATATTATTATATTCGAAGCTATAATGTCTGTTAGAAAGAATACACACTATTCTGATAAGTTACATAGTAAAAGACACAAATTCAATATATGTCTACCAAGCAACAAAACAACATTATTAAATAAAAGTATATTATGTATGGCTCCACGCATATATAATCATTTACCAAACCTATTTCTGGGCATTAATGATGAAAATATATTTAAAAACAATGTTAAATACTGAAACTGGAAAAAGCATATTATTCTGTCACAGAATATTTACAGGATAAGCTTATATAATGTTACCTCATTTTTAAAATACTAGTTTATTGGTGCCTAATATGTGTTATTGTATCTTTCTTTTAAATTTGCATGCCTTTAAGGTAGAATATGGTTAATGGACACTATTTTGTATAAGACCTTTTTTGTACCCATGTTCGTAAATGAATAAATGATTGAATCATTTGACTGTCTGGGGCGTTATATCCGCGTGCGGCAAAACTCAACTTGAGGTTGTTACAGGACCACGGCTGCCAACATTAAATGCTGAAAGGTACATTCGTGAGTACTTAGAACCTCACGTGATACCATACGCGGAGTATGTGGGCCGGGTGGGCCCAAATTTCCTTTTTATGCATGATAATGCAAGAGCCCATGCGGCCGGCTTCGTCATGGAATATCTTCGGGATGTGGACATCACAGTTATGGACTGGCCAGCCAGAAGCCCAGACACGAACCCAAATGAACACATGTGGGACGAGCTAAAAAGACGTGTTATGCAGGCGATGCAGGATTTGAAAACTGCCATAGAAGAGGAATGGGGATTATCCCTCAAAATTTCATAGAGCGGTTGATAAACTCTATGCCTAATCGTATGAGAGCTGTGGTAGATACCCATGGAGGGAACACGCGTTATTAAATTAAACCTTTATTTGATTTAACATGATTTTCATTCAAAAATCAATTGCCTTTAACAATGTGCATATCCGATTTGTTAGGCGTAGCTCCATGTCGTATGGTATTCTGAATTCAAATTTAAAACAATACTGTCGAAACAGATGGTAAAATGTATAAGGTTGAAAACTGCATCAACAGTTTTTGTTCAATCTAGCAATCATATTTCGGTAGGGGCCATCGAAACCTAAACTCTAAGGTGCCTAGAGATGGGATTTTACCCGGAAAAAACCCGAATATGGGAAAAAACCGGGAAAAAACCCGGGGAAAATTCCCGAATGGGAAAATATTCGGGTTTTTTCATATTTAACACATGTAACAAATAAGTAATGTGTAGATTATGTACATATCATATAGTACGTACTATTTAAGAACTATTACTACAAGTTAGAGCTAATCTAACTTTGTTTATGTTCATATTGCAGTAATAACGTTCTTAATATCCTTAGGGACCTACTATCAAATGAAAGAAAATGAAATTAAACAAAAATCCTGTCTGTTTGTGTGTGATCCTCCGCTCTTAGCGACAGGTAACCCGAAAATACGTGAGCGGGTAGAGGGGCAGGGAAGCAGGTAGTAGAGGGGCGAGCGCGTTGGTGATCTATCTATCTCACACGTTGTTTCGGCTTCATACTGTGCGCACTCGTGTTAATTTGTTGGTTTAATTGACGACTTGGATTTTGTTTGGTGGACTTTTGGTTACCTAATCCTTTGAATTGACAACAACTGCTACTCTTACGGACTTTGATACCTACTTTTTTTACGAACGAAATTTACCGGTAAATTTACAGTTTTGTAACTTTTGTAAAGTATAATAAATGATTGTTAGTAAGAGTATCTCTCGTTGTTTTAATTATATTATTTTAGTCAAACATTCTTTAAAGTTTAATAGGTATTTTTTCTGCTGTTAACATTCCATCACAGAGCGCAGTAAAAACTTATTATAAAACAAGAAGACGTCTTTATGGTGTTATAATAAATATGCTGGTTATGTTTTAGTCCTTGAAAAAGACTACACGTTTCAAATAACAGACAACAGCTAGTGCCTTATACACGCTGGTGCTAAGTACTACTCTGTCAAGAAAGTACCGGGAAAAGATCAATAATACAAAAAATGTCTGTTATTCATCCAAATTTATTTTATCACCTTTAAACTGTCAAACACCGAGCGGTCGGTGTTTGACAGTTTAAACTGTCACCGGTGACCGCAACCTATTGTTCTTTAATTGTCTGTAATGACGGTACTCAACGAGTTAAAGTATGCTCCTTTAGAGACGATACACTTGCGCCAACGAATAATCTATTCATCAAAACATTTTTTAAACGCTGCTTCCAGAATTGAGTTTAGTTCTCGCCGCGAATTCTCCTTTACGTCTTCTATCGATTGAAAACGGGTGCCACGAAGTGGTAATTTGAGTTTAGGAAAAAGAAAAAAGTCAGCAGGAGCCATATCTGGTGAATATGGTGGTTGCTGGATGGTATTTGTTGAGTGTTTGGTCAAAAATTCGTTCACCTTGATGCCACCAATGATAGCCTTGTGCGAAGGCGCTTTCTCGTGGTGCAAAATCCAAGAATTTTCTTTCCACAAATCTGGCCTTTTTCGTAGAATTTGCTCTCTTCAACGCCGCATAAAGCTCAAATAATATTCTTTATTTACCGTTAGACCTTCCGGTAAGAATTCAGAGTGCACAACAGCGCGATAGTCAAAGAAAACAGTCAACATGACTTTGACTTTTGATCGACTTTGGCGTGGTTTTTTCGGTTTCGGTTCAGTTGGAAGGCGCCACTCCGAAGCTTGTTGACTAGTTTGCATGCCAAACTCATAAACCCACGTCTCGTCACCAGTAACAATGCGTTTCATGAATGTTGGGTCCAAACTGACTCGTTCTAGCATATCCTCAGCGACTTTCATGCGATTGAGATTTTGGAGAAAATTTAGATCTTTTGGAACTAGTCGAGCAGCAACATGTTTCATACCCTTTAATGTATAGTATAGATTAGTTAAAATGGTACGGATCGACTCGTGAGATACAGAAAGTTCGGCGGCTATCTCTCTCAGAGTTGAATGGGGATTTTCAGTCACTATTTCCTTCACTTTTGCGATGTTAACTACAGTTGCAGACCAGAGCGAGGCAAATCTTCCATCACATCTCGACCGCTTTTGAACGCTTTGAACCACTCATAAGCACGAGTTTTTGATAAAGTCGATTCACCGTAAGCTTTCTGTAACATTTTTAGTGACTCCGAACACGAAATTCCATTGGCGATGCAAAATTTAAGACAAACTCTTTGATCGATATTTGTGTCCATTATGAAATTCACAATATACATTATATATGATATTTCTGAAACCAGCGCTGTATTTAATATAAATAACAGATGCAACTCAAACTCCGCGCCAAAATGGAAAACAGTTGTGCCAATCTAACAACTACATAAAAACAAAAATTTGAATTTGGAACCATAAACAAATCATCCATTCCCGATACTTTTTTGAGTGAATGTAGGTATAAGCGCATTACAAAGTACCTATTTATTTAGTTCTGAAAATAAAAAATAGAATACGATCATTATAAATGAAAATACCCGCCTATTGGGTTTTTTCCCACATAAAAACCGGGTTTTTTCCCAAATGGGAAAAAACCTGGGTTTTTTCCCCTTGGGTTTTTTCCCAGTGCCCATCTCTAAAGGTGCCCACCTTAGATGTGTCCAGTAGTGTATAGGCGCAACAAATTTAAAAATGTGCGCAACAATTACAGAACCCGCACAACTAATTATCTATAAGATTGAAATGACCATTTTCGACAACATCTGGCCTGGGTAACGCAAACCAAGAAATATTTTCATAATCAATTAACATTTTGTTGCCAAACATTTCAAACATTCTACAGCAAAGCCAACATTGATTGGTAAATGTATGTCATACAAAAGAAACATCTTCATTTTACATTATAATCTTGTTCATACAATCTACTTAATCATTTTTTTTTATTATACTGTTACAGTGTCAAGTTTAAGATGGCGTAAATAATAACCATTTATCTTGTCTTGCCTACAGGTACGGATGCCGTATATAAGCATTAACACGCTAGTTTAAAATTTTCAGATAGCAATAAGACTAAGAATGATTTTGTATTGTACAGGACATTCTATTCAGGTTTTATCCGTTTAACTTAATCAGATGTGGTCGTGTTTTAAGATATACATATTTTTTAGCTTTGTGTGTTATAAGAAATGCACAAATTCGATTAGGTAATTGATACAAAAGTATTACTGACGTCTGAAATTTTCCACAAAAAATTGTTAAAATTTACAATAACTGGAATGGTGTGCGTTACCCAGGCCAGATGTTGTCGAAAATGGTCATTTGAATCTTATAGATAGTTAGTTGTGTGCCTTCTATAATTGTTGCGTACATTTTAAAATTTGTTGCGCTTATAGTTTTTTAATTATTTCACGAAAACATTTCCTGCTGGGGTAACGTTACCCCAGTCAGACCTTTTTCTTTCTAATGGGAATATTTAAATACTTACTAGCTATAAAATTAGTTATCTAGATGAAGTAAATGTTGTGCCTTGTTATGTATTTTTTCTTTCATCGGTTGCGAAGTTATTCGACATTTTGCTGGGGTAACGTTTTTGATTTTACTAGATCTTTAAAATGGTTAAGCGGATTCTATCATATTTTGTACATGGCTTCTTAGGAATTAGTTTGAATTTGTTGTGCAATAAAAAACCAAAATAATACATAACTTAAAAGTTATTTCATTAAATAGAAAAACAATTATTTGGCCACTGAATTGGTTATATGAATTGAATGTTATATTACCTGTCAATAAAAATTATTTAATAATTAATTAGTTTTTTAAAACTTGTGTACATGTCTGTACTAAATTTGTAATACTATCGTACATATTTTATAGGGTATCATAATATTCTGCGTTTTCGCTTATTCGTAACCACCTAAACTTGGTTGGGTTGCCACGGTCATTCACTTCCTAATGACTTTAATCGTATTATCTCATTAATTATCCAATGTACTGAGCTGAAATTTTACTGACATACACCTGAACTAATCAACTAATAATTGACATAACATTCAATTCATATAACCAATCCAGTGGCCAAATAACACCGCGTGCATCAATACCGTGCTCGTGAAGAACTCAATATCATCATAACTTGTTAAATACTTACAGGATACTAATGAAACTTCATATACATTTGAAGGCAGTTATAAGCTTTAAAATAACGTTACGTAAAGTAAGTCTTTGGAGCTCTTATTGAGAGCGCTGGGACCAATTGAAGTGTTTTTCTATTTAATGAAATAACCTTTAAGCTAAATAGCTTAAATAATACATATTATTTTTGTTGTTTTATTGCAGAATAAATTTAAACTAATTCCTAAGAAGCCATGTACAAAATATGATAAGAATCCGCTTAACCATTTCAAAGATCTAGCATAACCAAAAACGTTACCCCAGGAAAATCTCGAATAGCTTCGCAACCGATGAAAGAACAAATACAAAATAAGGCACAACATTTACTTCATCTAGACAACTAATTTTATAGCTAGTAATTATTTAAATATTCTCATTAGAAAGAAAGAGGTCTGGCTGAAAATGTTTTTGTGAAATAATTAAAACACTATAAGCGCAACAAATTTAAAAATGTGCGCAACAATTACAGAACCCGCACAACTAATTATCTCTAAGACTCAAATGACAATTTTCGACATCATCTGGCCTGGGTAACGCACCCACTGGAATGCTTGAATGATGATCCAGATGCACGGGCGGGATGAAAGCTAAAGAAGTATGTAAAGATCGTAGTTGGTAGCGCTCTGTTAGTTCTGTTTACCTTTGTGGAACGAAGGTTTGGAACTCATGTGTTTTATTCGAACCACAATAAGATTATTTTAATTTTTGTCAACTTGGTTGTGCAACCAACTCAATCTATAGTTATCTTTGTGACTTTTACTCGATACACAAAAATGAATCAGGGCCCTTAAAATCTAGTCTAGATAAGACTAAGAGACGAGACAAGCAATACGTTTGGACCAAGAAGTGTAGTATAGAGCGGCAATATTTAGCTATAAGCTCTTCCTACATAAACTTCTCAAAATATGACCACATTTCTAGTTACTGTGTATGTAATTAGGCAAGCTTTATGTTATAAATAAAATTTGGTTGTAATTATGATGTGTTTCAATTTATTATTTGTCATGACCTCTTTTTTTAC